TGAGGGTTTTGCACACATTATTCTCTTGCGGCTGCCCTTTGTCTATTTTCAATTTGCCATTCTGCTACAGTCTACTAATGGAAAATGACTGAAATGCCCTGGGAAGAAAACATCGCAGCACAACTTGCTTTGCACAATACATACAACAATAATAATGCAGGACTATCTCATTGTCAGCAGTTCCTACATCGTCTGAAATCCACTGTCTGCCGTTGGAGAATGTTTACAAATGTAATCGTTGTCAGGCTGCAGGTTTCATATTTAAGTTCCACGTCCCAATTGCAGAATGTACCAGCCAATTATCCCTGCAGATTGGCATGATCATAATTACAGCCTTATAACTCCACGGCTGATCCTGCATTTGAATGTAGCTGAACACTGTATCTATTTTCCACATCACTTTAATATGCATTTAATACGATCAGACATCGATAAAGGCAATGTAACATTTCCCTGTCTTTGAAACTATAAGTCTTTTTCTCAACTGCATGTTTGACTTGGCCTTTCATCAAACCGTGATGTTGTAAAAACATGCTTCAAAAATTCCTTATTACCATAATACCGCACATCAACCAAGTAACTAACTTGCAAAAATGGATCACAAAACGAGAAGCTCTGTAGGAGCAGAGATCAGTGTATCCATATATGGAGCCAAGGTCGTTTTGTACTAATTATAAAAGGTTTTTTGTTTGCTTTATTTTCCCTTGCGAATTTCGGCTCATTAAAGTTAGTTCTGAGGACTGAAAGTTGAGATCTGCTTGTGCTGACCGCTAAAAATAGCATCTGTGAGATATCCACATTTAGCAATCGGATTGATACATCCCAATTTATTTTGTGCCCTGTCTCTGTGCACATTGAGGGGTTTTGTCAGCTGCACAGAATCCGTCCTTCGAAACACTTGTTTTTACCTGACCCAGAGAAACCGTGTCCTTGGCTAACAATCCCCCAGATTTTAAAAAATAGTAACTAATTTGCTGTGTGCATGTTTGTCTACAAATGCCAACAAATATGCAGTCACTACACTTCCTAGTAAAATCCTGTGAATCATGTTGAGACGTTTTAAAGACAAGATAAGGCACTAAATCAAATGCAAGGAATATTATTGTTATAACAACCTGAGAAAAAAACTTTAGCAAAGCATTGCATATGTTTCCACTTCGCAAACTTGCTCTTATTCTTTTTTTGATGTGGAGCTGCCAATTAAGTGCCAATTTGTGCTGAATTGTACCAACTACTGTGCTTTGCTTCTTTGTGTTATGCCTTAATGTCCTGCAGAGCACAAACTGCTGAGCATTATGTTATGTAATGCCGTCTTTTAAATTGAGAAACAAAGGCAGGTGTCAAGGTTCACATTGCAGGATACCAAACAAATTTCAAAATAGTACGAGAGAAGATGTGACTTAATTTAGTTATAAAAGTTCTAAGCACTCGTGTGTGTGTGTGTGTGTGTGTGTGAGCGAGAGAGAGAGAGAGAGAGAGAGACAGCACATTATTTCTACCTATCCAAATATTTATTTTTCCCACTAGCTCCCTTATTGCAGAACTAATCGATTTCAAGATATTCATTCTCGCTTTCAAACCAATTCACACCCTAGCACCTCCCTACCTCTCCAATCTGCTCACACCCCACTCCACTAGCTGCTACCTTTGTTCAGCTGGCTTGGGTCTTCTGCACATCACTTGTCCCAGTTGCTCCATAATTGGCGGCCGTACTTTCAGCCGCTATGCCCCGAATTTGTGCAATTCCTTGCCTCAATCCTTCCGCCTTGCCCTCGCTTTGCCCAACTTCAAATCAGACCTGAATACTTTCCTCTTACATGGTGACTTTGGACACCTCCCTTGTCTTTCCAGCTTGCCGTCAAACCACAATTCTGTTATAATAATAATAATCCTTGCATTTGATATAGCGCTTTTCACGTCGAGAGGACGTCCCAAAGCGCTTCACAGAACACACTGTAAAGTGAATTGACTGTATATTTTGTGGGCGAACGCAGCAGCCAATTGTGCACAGCAATGTCCCACAAACAGTCGTAGATTGAAAATGACCAATTTATTATTGTTTTTTGGTTTTGGAGGGATTATTATTAGGCGTGTGGAGTAAGGAAACTTGCCCAAGGTTTCGCCCTGCCTGGAATTGAACTCAGGTCTCTCGCTTGCAAAGCGAGTGCTTTAACCACTGAGCTACAGGACTCCTAACAAGATTCTGTTAAGCTCTCCGAGACGCTACCTGTGTGAAAGGCGCTATATAAATGCAAGTGGTTGTTAAATCTTATTCATTAAACTAAACTATATACTAAAAGCTATCAGGCAGTACAAAAGAGGACAAATGGGAAATGGTGGGTGGCAGAGGGGAGGGAAGCAGCAAACAGCAGGAGGAACGTGATAGCTGATGTAGAGCATTCAGGTCTGCAGAAAGTGTACGCTGGTACAAATCAATATGACCATCACACTTACTTACACTCATCTAGTCTACATCAGTGCTGACCCAGTCCTTGACTTTACATTGTGTGCAGTGGCATTCACAAGCTGGAGTGTCCTTTGTTTCCCACTACTTATTGAATGCTTTGGTGGAAATGCAGTCAAGTTCAAGACTTGTTTGAACCTGTTTCATGTAAGACCCTTACAGCTTGTACCAAAAGAGTAGAGACCTTGAATCCCACCATTCTGGGCTGAATTCAGACCTTGTCTGTCTGAGCGTCTCTGTCATGATGCATTTCTGCAGTGTTTTTGTTCGTTTATTGGAAGGATTTACCTTCTCAATGTTTTAAAATATTATTACATTGTGAGTTATCCCCTATTATCCTGTGTGTCACCTATTCGCAGATCCCTAGCACTCAGCTTGAGTGGGACTTACACCCAGTTACAGATAAATTACTGATGAATTTTAGTTTCTTCTGACAATCTCAATTTGGAAAATGCCATTTAATTTTAATTTTAATAGAGTCCGCGAGCTTGCCAGTTTTTCCCAGTGTTTTCAGTCTGGTGGACAGAGAACATAAAGAGATGCAAATCTAGTTTCATTCACTCTGATGATGGCCTGTGACTTTTGCCTTTGTAAGTGGTAATAATAATAATAATCCTTGCATTTGATATAGCGCTTTATCACATCATTGAGACGTCTCAAAGCTTTTCATGGAATATATTGTCAAGTGAATTGGTTGTGTATTTTGTGGGTGAAACACAGCAATCAATTTCCAGAGTCGTGGCTTGAGTGATCACATTGTTTTGGAAATGTCTCATTCTGCTGTGAGGTCGATGAGCTCTCTCTCTCTCTCTTTGTGTGGATTCTTCCTTCTATTGCTCTTTTATATTCTCTCATACAGTAAGAGCATGAATGAAGGGCAGAGGCAACACAGTGTGCTACAACCTTGTCCTTTCACTTCAGCACGGTTGGGTTGTACTGTTCACGATGAATGCAATTCCCTTTATGTGTTTCAGTGTTGCACCATGACCAGCAGCCTCAGGCGAACTTCAGAACTGGTTCTATTTGAACTGTCCTGTAGCACAAACCTGACTTGAGTGCCCCCAGCAAAAGCAGTGTCCATTCCGCACAATTGTTGTTTGTTTGAAAATATCACATAGGGAGAATGTTAGAGCCAGAGGATGGGGCTTAGGATAGGTTAGTACTAGTGGTTCAGAGGCTTCTGCTGAGAGACAATGTACACCAGAACACTAATGTACAGAATAAATCTACATTTATGTAGTGCCTTTCATGTCGGGCTTGGCAGTACTGGCTTGACACACGAGCTTGGATGGGAGCCTAGTGGGATGGGCAAGGGAAAGATGACAGAAAGCACGGTCAGTGAGGCAGGTTTTTTCTTGAATTTCTCCCAAGTAAGGAAAGATTTCTCGCTAATAGCCCTATTGGTACAAGGCATTATTCCACACCATGAAAACATATATTTTACTCAACTAAAGCCAGCATGAGGGACTCCCATCTTGCTTCAGTGAAGTACACCAACTGAGCGTGTGCAAAATCTTAAATCATCCCCCGGCTCAGTCATCCTTTAGGCATAACGTAATGCATTCCCTCACTGCATCTCATCCACACCACATTGCTCACCTTGCACACAGCAAAGACTGTGATCTCCCCACTCCTCACTGCTGGTATGCCTATTCGTGACAGACAGAAGTGCAAACAGTGGGATGGCTTGTGAGGGAGGAATTGAGATCTCTTGCAATGAACTCTTGTGAAACTGTTATCAAAAGCTTGGTATCGGTTTGTATTGCTGGTTGACTTTACAATAATGAGAAGATAAACGTTAATGAGGATAACTCTGTTTTAATGAGTGACTCGAGTTGCTTTTATGCCAGACATACATGGAGTAATCAGCACTGTATTAGAGCAACTGTTGCTATTCCTGGCAATAAGCTGTTATAATTGACTGAACAAGCGTATAAACAAGGAAGCCCCATGTCCCACCCTTATGGTTCATTGGGTAAATGAAAGAAAATTCAAATTCTAATCCCTTAACTAGCTCAGTTAACTACTTAGGAGATGTACCCGAGGACTGACAGACCCCGAAAAAACAAGCATGACCTTGTGGGGAGGAGTAATAATAATCCTTGCGTATGATATAGTGCCTTAATTGCATTATTGAGATGTCTCAAAGCGCTGCACAAGATGTGAGCAAAGGGTGGGACACATCTGAGCAAAGGATTAATGCACAGCTCACATGACTGATGCACTGAGCTCCAATCAGTTTCAGTTTCGAAGTGTAAATGATTGAACATGACACCTAAGAGAATCAAGTTCAAAGTTCAAGTTTAGTCAAATTCTAACTTACATAGAATCCATTTGATTAATGTTCATTAACTTGCTAGTAACTAGTGGTGAGGGTCTGGTCATTCATTCATCACCTCAACTTCATGTTTGAGTGAAACTTCCATTTAATGTGGTCCAATGTTTTTCCTTTTCTTAGAAGTTTGTTTTTCATTCTTTATCCATTGTTCCATTCATGTAGCCACTCATGTAATCATCATTCCATTCTTCCCACCAGAGCCAAACAGGACACAGCCCTCCTCCTGCCTACACTTCCATGTCAGGAGTAAGTATTGAACATTTTGTCAACAGCAGCCGTGTGAAGAAATAATTCAGAATCACCAAAAGTAACTCTCCGAAGGACGTGCTTATTCTTCCCTGCTTGCAGGAGTCAATAGTTGAACATATTCTATTGAACAAAAATGCGGAACAACTCAGCTTTAAGAATGGTTAGAGTAACTGGCGTAACCGAGCTACAAGCTGACACGGCATAGGTTCTGCTGGTGATGTTAGGAAGTCCTGATCTTCTCCAGGCAGTCCTGGATGATGCTGAGGGGGGATACAAGATATTTCATGCTGAGACAAGAAAGCTAAAGTGAAGATGGATTCACTACTCTTGTCCTCTTCTTAACAATCAACATGAGTTGTCATCGGTGGATGCTTTTGAGGAGGAAGCTTAAACCTCCCTCTCATTTGTGCCAATGGTGAATAGCATCCCTGGGTAGTTCAGTTTGTTGAGCGTTGGACTTGACTCTGGGTTCAATTCTTTGTAGGTCCACTTTGAGGTTGATAAAATAAATACCGTGCTCTTAATCCCTACCGAGGGTGGGGAGTGGGAGGAGTGGGTTGTAGGCAATAAACAGGATCTTCCTAAGGTTAAGCATTGAGGCAAGGCATGCCTATTGAAACCTGGCTATTCCACAGGAATGTAAATCATTGTTGACCAGCTTGTCTGCCTTATCAGTGAGATATGAAGGTGTGGACATGTCTTTATTCCTACAAACCAAAGTCCCAGTGGCCTAAAGTAGACAAGTGCTATGAAGGTTTTGTGGCTGTTTATTCCACAAGAGAGGGAAAAAGAGAGCAGATGTGGAAGTAAGAGGAAATCAGTAAGACATCTAAATTAATTGGTCATTCATCTCAAGGCTGTTTATGCACAAATGTTGCCTATGAAACAGTTACTCTGTGGAGTCCAGTAGCTTAGTGGTTAGAGCAATCGCCTTGCAAGCAAGAAGACCTGGGTTGGATTCCCGGCAGGGCAAAATGTTGCGCAAGTTTCCTTACTCCACACATTTCTGTTTACCTAGCAGTAAGTAGGAACCTGGTTGTTAGTCGATTGGTGGATCACTTTTCTGGGGCTAATAATTCCTTCAAAAAAAATAAATAATAATTTGGTCACATAATCCACAACTGCTTGTGGGACACTGCTGTGCGCAATTGGCTGCCACATTTCATCCACAAAACATACAGTCAATTCACTTTACAGTCTATTCTGTGAAGCACCTTGAGACGTCTAGAAGACATGATAAGGTGCTATATCAAATGCAAGAATTATTATTATCATTACTCATTACACTTGACCGTAACTATTCCTAAAGCTTTTTGAGACGATTTATTGTGATGAGATGCTATTAAAAAAATGATTTCTTTGAACAGTAACATAAGAAGCTTTCATGGGATTTCATGTGTTTGGTTAATTCATTTCCTTTCATCATTGGTAATGCGGAATGTGTTGCTTAAAAGCGTGTTATCATTTCTGTTTATGTGTAAGAACCCTACATTAGGCTGAAATTTTAAAACTTGCATTGCAATGAGTAGTGCACTGGAGCAATGTTGGCTGTGCCAATGTGTGGTGCAATGGGAAAGCGGTTCACTCCGGAGGAATCAATGACTTCCCGATCTTGGGTGTGCAGTAAGGTGGGAGAGACATAGCAGCAGGGAACCACCTCACATACAAGGGGAAAGAGAATTGAGGGCAAGACATTCAAGCTATTTGGGAACACTTTACCTTCCAATACATGGCATTGGCAGAGACTTGGATCAAAGGCTGCCTGTTTGCCATTGTGGTCTTTGATGCAGAGAAAATTCAGGACCAGATAAAAGGGTGGCAATATTATATTAAGCAACAAAATCAATATTAGGAGTAGTTTTTAACAATGCAGGTTAAAACATTTACGTTTGTGACTTTTTTTGGTTGAACAAAATGTTTTGTTTGGTGGTTTTGAATTTACATAGTACTGTGAGAGCAACACATGATTGGAATGACAGTTTCTGGGCACACTGAAGTATAGTCTCATGTTACCACAAATGTTTAAGCATGTTTTGTGCTGGAAAAGGGAGCGAGAGCCAATTAAAGCACGAACCACAATGTAAAACATCCGGCAACGTTCATTATAGCCATTAATTGCCATGTAATTACTGATCCAGAGCAGTTGAGTTCATTCTCAGTGCACAGACTCTCACCACTTTGCCTCAGACACTGGTACCATCAGGATTTAATAATGTAACATTCAATCGCTGAAGACGTTTGTAATATTGTGATGCATTTTTTGTGCCAAGACAAGAGTCTTTATTTTAAAAATATCCACAATTATTTGTAAATGTGGCCACCCAGCTTACAGTTTCATTATAAATCTTACAAACCTAAACGCCAAATCGCTGAACAATTAATATTAAAAACCCTACATTTTAGATTTTCATTTTAAGAAAGAAAAAGGGAGTTTTAGACAAATGCCTCTGTTTCTTGCCTTCCATTACTTTCTAGACTCATGTTGGCTCTCGAAATGATAGTGAAAGAGAAACCAGGGTGTGCCCGGTTCAGTTATTTTTCCACCGTGATCTGAACAGGTACAACCCAAAAGCCTGTAAGTGGACCTTGTGTGTCTCTCTCCCTGTTCTGGGAGTCCTAATAGTCCTGACAAATCAATGCTGATCTTTTTCAAAGGGCTTTTTTTCGAATCATTGGTATTGTTAACAAGCACAAAAGTATAAAGTAACCACATTTGTGAGACGTTTTCCCAATGTGAATGGTGCTATAGCAAATACCAAATGCAAGGATGATGTTATTTCAAGGAATGGTCATTTTGAAATTAACGCGGGCACCTTTGCCCACTGCTCCAAGTGGAGGGTCCATAACTAGCAAAGGTTTGAAAACAAAATGTGAAATACGTATTGATAGAGTTGTAAATAGAGAATATGACACCAATTTTGGTTTCTTGCCTAGCAGTTTAATACCATTAGTCTGCTGTTGCTGTTTCACTCTAGTCTGAATTTTCATTACTACGACAACCTCCTGTTGCCTTGTTGTTTCCCTTCCCAATGTCTAAATTCAATCAGAAGAGACTCTTTAAATGTCCCCGTTGAACAGTTTTATCAGTGGAAATTATGCTAAACATTTCTTTCCCCCCCAAGGACGAACACTATTTTTTAAAAAAAATTGAGTCAACCGGGTGTCTGACACATGCGGAAACCCATCACCATGTTAAAACCATCCCACCCACACATGGAAATCCCAGAGATAGATTGTTGGAATGGAATGTGCACTCTCTCCCTGGAGAGACGCATCCCTCTTACCTAAGTTTGGAAATTATTACGTGCAGGTTGGCAAGAGCTAAGGTTTGGGGACCCTAAAGTGGGGTACTGCTGGAATCTAACCAGCTAAAACCACACAGCTTGTCATTGATATTGCAGTCTGGCAAGCTTTCCCACTGCTTGTCCAGCTTGGACCACAGTACACGTTAGAGTTTTGATTTGCCAGGTTAACAGGAGCTAAGTACAATGATTCCCTATCCCCACTAACTGGTCTGCTCTTCCAGGTCCAGGCGATGAGCCAGGCTGGCTGTGCTGTCATCAGCAATGCCCTGTAATACTGCGGACTCGCCAAATCCATTATAAATGCCGACTAGCGAAATAGTTTTCTGTGCCCACTGGATTAAGACTGCCCGAGGTGGATGGAGCTGCAATTTACAGAGCAGGATCTCGCTGACTCAAATCTCGGCCCACGCTGAGTTTGCTGGTCTCATCCGGAGCTGTTTGGTCCTTGTCATTCCAAGATTAAGTAGGGGAAAATCAGCCTTGGTTTCTGCTCTCATTTCCTCTTAATACCCTCTAGTGATTGTGTGTTTGTGTGGGGAGCCAGATGGGGCCTGTGATGCCCCCTGCAGTTGAGTAGCCTGTTGGTACTCACTATCAAGGCTCACACATAAATATTGGTCATTGACGAGCTACCAGAGAATAACCAACGTTCAGCAAGAGGAAGCCAGACCAGGAGCAGAGAGACATTGCTCTGCACAAATTAAATTCGCTGATGTGTTTGTCTATGACATAGTCACTACACTTTACAGTGTATCCTGTGAAGCATTTTGAGATGTCCTCCTGACGTGAAGGCGCTATATATCAAATGCAAGGATTATTATTATTTGTTGTCGGTCATTCTGCTGTCTTGTCCTACTGTCAGTTTGCCTAAATGTTCCTTCTGTTCAATCAGACAGATGAGTGAGCAATTGACAGACAATGCCCACTTCTTTTGAATGCTCCAGGTACCATGAAATGTGCCTTGGCACCACAACCGAATGCGACATATGTGCTGCGATGTAAAGTGTCTATTTGTTAACTGGTTCCAATGTCTCTCATTGCTGCAGCTTCCCCTTCATCTCTTTGGTCGACACACTTTAGCTTAGCATGAATTCAAGACCTGAATTCTTCCCCTATTACAAGTCAGGGACAGAGTGTAATCTCCTTAATTTCTATAAGTCATGTGAATTTTAAAATAACTTTTACCACAAAATCCCAGACGACCTCACGGTTCCTGGATTAAGAAAGTGATTTAGTTTGGGATTCAGATCATCTTGCTTACATCCAAAATACAAAACAAATATACTCATAAGGGTCAGTTCAGGTGCCACAAACAGGACAATCCCGAAAGGCTAGTCAGCTTTGGCACACAATGCCTAAATCGAAACTCCTATTTCTTTCCCTCCTTTCAAGCTGTATGATAATATCACAGTCAGATTTGTTGGCAGGCCACCATTCGGCGTTTTATCCACCAATACAGTAATAATAATAATAATCCTGCCATTGATATCGTGCCTTCATGTCTCAAAGTGCTACAGGGTTTTTATGATAAACTGGAGTGACTGTATCGAAGCAAACACAGCCATTTTGTGCACTCTGAGACAAATGTCCTTCTCTTTTCAAATAGTGCTGTAGGATCTTTAATGTCCATCTGAACAGGCAGATGGGACCTCATTTTAACGTCTTATCCAAAGCATGGCACTTCCAACAAGGCAGTGCTCTCCCAGCACTAAACTGGAGTGTCAGCCTTGACTTCAAATCCTTGAAAAATTCAGTGATTAAGATCGTATTTTACCTGATTCTCATATAAATTGCCAGTACTGCACTTGCCAGGTAATTGCAGTTCAGAATCTCAACACAATTATTACTGAAAAACTGCAGAGAGAATAGCACACTGTTTAGAGAGCTGTTGTTCAAAATATAACTGACGGAGGCTTGTTATTTTAGGGGAAGTGGAGATAATAGATAGTAGGTCTGTTGTACTTGTTGCAGCGCTAGGATTTGTTTCTATAAGAATGGAAGGAATATAACTACAGAGAATAAAGATAAAATTGAATGCATGAGTTTAAAACAAAAAAGCCTCAAAGGCAACAGGAAAATGTCAGGAATGTTATCAAAGTTTTCGCGGCTGCAATGCACCTTTGGCAAGAACAGGACCAGGATGGGTGCAGAACTGGTGCTTGTGAGCTAATGGGTTGTAACTCAGTATGCTAATTTGTCTTGAAAGCATTGAAAGAAACCACACTAGAGTATTACTGAATGTGACGTGCCAAGGTGATGCACCCTCAGATTCTGTTTCGGGGTAGAATACAATGATACCACTCTGTTGTCGACATTCCTAAAGGACATGATATTCGGCATTCGGAAAACCACTGGGGTAATAACAATTCAGTAACATGGCACACACAGGCTCAAAATACAGAATGTTAAATAGCAGCTTGCAATCTTTGTTCTCAATGTATTCCTAACACGTCACATGGAATGCATGGAGCAGATGTCAAAATTGTTTTTATCCTCGCTGGATGGACTTCAAAATTGCTTCTCCTAGATTTGTCAATTAATGATCCTTGCAAAGTCTCCCCGAGTGGCAGAGTGGGATGCCAAACAATTGTCCAACCATTAGGTTTAGGAAGGGAATATTGCATCAATAAAAGTAGATCTGTTTTTCTGAATGATGATGAAACTAGTCCATGCAGGGCACCTAATGGAAGTGCATTGCGGTTTCAGTGAGCCATGATCTGATTACTGATGGGTTCCACAGAGCAGTGTCCTCAGGCAGAGAAGAGATGACACCTTCTGAAGTGAGATCTTGCAGCTTGGCAATGTACTGAAGCTACCCATGTCTTCATTGAGGGGATCTGGACTCTTGAGACAGTAGTATTGGATGTTACTTATAAAGTGTGTTTGATGTGATATAGTGCCTCGGACTGTGCAATGCTGCAGCTCTTGTACTTTTAGTACACAGCATGCGGTGTTTTACATACATTGCAGTCCAATCAAGGTGATGATCCTTGAAGATGATCCTTGAAGTAGAATTCCAAAGGATCAAATCATTTCCAGGTAACTCCTGTTGTGTGGAATTTCAAATTGTCAAACCATTTTCCTGTCACTCTGAATGTACAGCGTTTTAAAAAATATCTGGTATATCCCTTAAATAGGGCCAATTTCTCTATAACTTTAAACAGGGGCAATTTTTTTATAACGTAAAGAGGATAAGTTTGTCCATAACTTAAATAGGAGGGATTTCTCCATAACAGTAAAATAAGGGGAATTTCTCTCAGTTACAAAGCATGCTAACTTTAGTCTCTCTGTTACATTTTGAATATTTGTTTTTAGAAATGAGTTTATCAGGGTAACCAGCCGAATTTACTACGTGAAGGAGATTGAATTATTAGTGGTAGATATCGCAGTCTTATTATTTCAGTGAATAGCTTTGAGACGTGGCGCTGTATCAAATGCAAGGAATATTATTGTTTATATAAGTTCAAAGAAATTGTGGTACCAGAGGGTTTGAGGTGAGTGTCAGTTCCTGGGGTAGATGTGAGCAGTCTTTACTGAAAACAGCTCATCTTAACCATTCATTTATCACTGCACAAAAAAATCACTGTCAAAAGCAGGAAAACTATTAAATCTATTCCACCCCCAAACCAAGTAAAAATTCTCATATCTCTTAAGATTACGTTTTTTGTTAAAATCAGGTAAAATAATTGAGCTCCTGCTTTGGTTTATTTTAGTTCCAGTCTTTGGAGAATGCGCTAAAATCTGAACAACAGAATGATGTTTTACCGACCACTACATTGCAGTACAGCTTTGTGCATTTTCCCACAAGGGGCTGTTCATTATTCCCAATTGCTTCGGTTTGCCAGCAGTCGTGGGCAGGATGCCTCGGTGGTCCTGTGAAGCAAATTACAGCAGGCTGTCTTGTTTTTATCAAAGGTCCCACGATTACACTTTCATTGTATCTTAGGCAAGAGGAGAGAACATAATTGCTGACCGGAGTTGCTATTGTAAATCAGATTCGAAAAACAGATTTGAGCAGCAAATCTGTGATATTTTTTTACACGGTATCATTTTTGCACGCAGAGGGTGGCTCCTTGCTATTGAAAATCATTAGAAAAATGCCACCGTTTAATTGCTCCTTATAGTCGCTCCAACTTAAAATGCAAAGGTCAAAAGATTTATTTTTCTCTTCTGTTTTCTGTTCCTGCCACAGAATCAGTTTGTTTATCGCGACGGAATCTTTAATCCAGAAGAAGGATTATCACTGCATAACCGGCCCTCGAACTGCATTGGCTCAGAATCGCTGGATGGCCAGAGTGCGGCCTTGTCTCTGGACGTGTTTGACGATACGTGCTGCAACGGGACTCTGAGGAAACTGGGGCCTCGCTCACGGGAGGACAGCACGACCCAGAGATACAGTGCCGATCCAACCGTCTTTCTATCTGAGCGAAATCAGAGGGGAGACCTGGATGAGGATGGCTACATGACACCCATTCAAGACAAAAAGATGGCAGGCAAGTTTTCCTCAGCACTGACGGGAGATTGGCACAGGCTGTAAGGAGTGCTCAATTTGCCGCCAACCGGTGACAGTTTTGCATCGGGATCGTTGACAGAATCGGGGAACTCAATGGAAGGAAAATCTAAATTCAACGTTTGCTCTTTGGTAGAAATAATTTTATTTGCAACATGATCCCTCACACCCAAATGTAAACATTTCACATACACTTTGTCTGCTATTGTTACCAATGCAACAATACAGTAGAGAGTTTGTGAAGAGGATGTGCTGCTGCTTATTCATTTCAAGGTGAAATTGAGCCATTACTCATTCCAATACCATCTGGCTATTCACCATTCAGTAACTGTGAGAGAGGTTGGTGGTTACAGATTGGGGATGATCTATTCCTGATCTCATTTTAGACCTTGTGGGAAGTAATGTGGCTGAAGGATGCCAAGAATTTCACTAAATCATCCTTTCACTACCAAAGACAGATATAAACTATCATCGTTTGTATAGAATATTTGTTGGGGGAATGTCTCCTAGAGGTTCAACGTTTAGTGCAATTTTTATGTTAAAATCAGGGTTTGCCCTTTTGAAAGGTATTCACTGTTTCTTTTTATGGACTGAGCTCTTGCCGCTGAGACTTTGCAGGTAGGAAGTCTGCTGAGTTTGTTGGTTCACAGTGGATGCTTCTCATTAGTGAAGCTTTCTAAGTGGAAGTATCTTAACAGCGATCTTTTAATCCCTCCATTCTTTCCCAGAAAATTAGCCTCCTGTGAGCTTAGCATGTGGAGATATTGATACAGGAAGACGGAGAGAGAGGGATTGTGCCAGCCTGTGGTTGTGGATTCAAGCTTTAGAATGCATGTAATCGAGGCTGACACTCCAGTGCAGTGGGGAGAGGTGGGGGAGTGCTGCATTGCTGGAGTTGGTATCTTTCATGGCTGTTTGGGGGACATTTCTACGCTCAAATTGGCTGTTGCGCTCACCTTCAAATACACAGACACTACACAGCAAAATGCTGTTTTCAGATGTCTGCACGACATGATAATAATAATAATAAGAATCCTTGCATTTGATATAGCGCTTTTCACGTCTTCTAGACATCCCAAAGCGCTTCACAGAATATACTGTAAAGTGAATTGACTGTATATTTGTGGCGTACGCGGCAGCCAATTGCGCACAGCAATGTCTCACAAACAGTCATGGATTGAAAATGACCAATTTATTATTGTTTTGTTTTGGAGGGATTATTTTTAACTTGTCAAGTAAGGAAACTTGCCCAAGGTTTCGCTCTGCCTGGAATTGAACTCAGGTCTCTCACTTGCAAAGCGAGTGCTCTAACCACTGAGCTACAGGATAAGGTCCTATCCCAAATACAATGGTTATTATAATTTACTAACCCTCCTGGCTGAGGAATCTTGCATGAAAGCAACAAATTCTGTTCTCTGTTACTCCCAGGTAGGCACCGAATAGGGCTCTCAACTACTTTGGGGCAGGTGGTACGTTGTTGAAATTCAGTCTTATTCCAATAATTCATCTGAAATGAGCCATCTTTAAATCCTAAGTGTCATCGTCTTATTTTTAATGCATATTCAAAAGGCCTTGCATGGAAAAGATCTTTATTATGATATGTTTGAACTCTCCTCTCCAGGTGTTAGTGAACGAGGCTGTGGCACATTGGAGGAGAGAGTCCATGCGAGATCATCCGCAGTGGATCCCAAGTCTAAACCAACTCGCACAGGTTGGTAATGTCAGGAAAACAAAAAATCTCTATTTGTTACATATTCAGATGCCCAGCGGTTCTGTTAAGCAGCTTGGGACCTCCATCCGATGTGAACGGAATCGCATAAATGGAAATTTGTGCTGTATTGGTATTTTTTGGCACTTTCCAATATCTTTTTTCTATTTCATTTTAAAAGAAGATTAACTTCACAATTTACTTGGTAAAATAAACTTCACAAAAGTAGCTCTAAATTGGGGAAGGGAAGAGAGACTCGACTCCAATTCTGTTACTCAGACAGTAATGTAAAGTGTGCTGTCCTTGTTTACTTTAGTCAGCGTTAGCTGTAACTGGGGCTCCATTGCTGCTGCTGGTTCTGTACGTCTGACTGACAGTTCAGAATGGAAATTGAAACGTTTATAGTATTCTCCTTAATGCCTCCATAATTAAAGAGGATTACGGATTGATTTTTGTTTCAATTTTGAATCATTTCTCAGGATAGAGTGCAACAAATTGTGGGGCCGTGCAGCTTTGGGTCATTGTACAGGAGGGCATCTAGGAAACAATTAGCCAACTTGTGAATACCCCTAGGGTTCGCCTGCTGTGAACCACATCAGTATGCAAACTCCTGCGGCTCGGAACATTTCGGAGAGTTTACATATTCCAAATACAAATAATTATAACAATGCAGGTTTTATACAATATCATGAGAGGGGGGTGGGGGGAGAAAAAGTTTTTTTGATGATTCCTCAGAAATATAGGAAAAAAATTGTGTTCATAAATGAGTCTTTCCATGGTTTCTGTTTCCCCCGTACTCAGAAGTGATGGAATCTGCGCAATGAAAACTGCTATTGTGCCTCGCAAGCGACGGGATTAATTTAGAAATCATGATATGACTAACAGGACAGTGCTATTTACCTTCATTCTAGGAGTGTGAGGGGTTTACCTAGAATTACATGGAATGATACGGCAGGGAAACAGGCCGTTCAGATTGCTAGTCCATGCCAGTGCTTGTACTCCACACTAGCCTCCATCCCTTCTATTTCCCTCTCCCACATCCCTCTATTTCCATCTTCCTCAAGCATGCATCAGGTGTTCTCTTAAACATGTTGATACCTTTTTGCTTTATATTTTCTACATATTACCAGCTAGGTCTACTCCAAGGTGCTCTTTATGCTGATAAAATTAAATTATAGAATTGTAATTGTAAATTATAGAATTGTAATTACATTAAACAGCTTTGAGTTACCTGTTTTTAGTGACCATCTTCAACACTAGACTTGGGCAGAAAGCCATATATGATACATGCAATGGGAAGGTGATAAGAAGTTGTTATTCTACAACAACAACTTGCATTTATATAGCGCCCTTCACGCTGGACGGCGTCTCGGAGCGCTTAAAGATTCTAGAAAGATGAGATCAAATAGGCTGAACAGATTTCTTAATCCCAACCTCGCATGTGCTCTTATAAGATTCAGTTACAGTTGAACGTGTATTTATACATGTCCATGGATTCAGGTTGCAATTGAAAGACACGCAGGATTGTTCTCCAGTTTGTTTGCTTTGCGTTGTCTTGCATTTTATTCTGATGCCATGAGTTCCGGTACAGAGTTCTTATTATTTCCTTCACTTTTGCAGAGTATCTGAACCCGGTGGAGGAGAACCCGTTTGTTACCCTTCGAAAGAACGGTGACATCCACGCGTTGGACAACCCAGAGTACCACAATGTCCCAGAGGGGCAGCAGAACACAGAAGATGAGTACGTGAACGAGCCCCTCTATCTCAACACTTTTGTCAATGCGGTTGAGAACCCAGAATATCTGCAGGATAATAAGATTGCCATTTCAGAAAAAGTTGACAAGGCTTTTGACAATCCTGACTACTGGAACCACAGTTTCCCACCCAAGACTGCCGTACATAACCCTGAGTACCTGAAGGATTACAGCACAAAGTTTTTTTACAAGCAGAATGGACGGATCAAGCCCATTGTAGCAGAGAACCCTGAATATCTTTCAGAGTTTTCGCTAAAGCCAGGGACTGTACTGCCATCATACGGACAGAGGAATACAGTGGTGTAACCCTGCAGCGGGAAGGGAACTCCAGCTATCTGGATTTCCTCATCAAACCATAAACTCATATCCTCGATATGGTCTAGAATGAGAATGTTGAAGGTAACAGCACGGACAACGAACATAACATGTCTGCACAGAAGGAGTTCTATTTTATCAAAATTGAGCCGTGGTCCTTTTGGTTGGACCATTCATAGCCTGGACTGTTGAAAGCAATATGGTTACAACCAGCAAAATGAAGGATAACTGTGGAAATACCAAAAATGTAGCTCTTTGGATTAACCTTTCATATTAACCTTTTATCAAGGACGGTCCTTTGGAGGACGATTGCACTCACAGAACAAAATGCATTGGCCCTCTTTTTTGGTTGCCACAAAAATACTACTTTTTGGTGGGGGCGGGGGGTGTCAGAAGGAAAATAGATACCTGGAGAACTCAGCATTTATAGGATGAAATCCTGATGATTCCCCCCCCTCCTCCCCCCCGGCAAAGTAAATCCAATGAATTTTAACCCTTTCACCAGCGAACATCCTAAGAGGTTTGAACAAAATGTTTCCAAGAAAGTATTAACCTATTAACCTGCCTTTAGGTTTTACTGCTGTCTAGATACATTGCGTAAGAAGGAGTGCTTGGAGTTAGCAATTGCATGGGGCATTCAGTGAAGGTCACGTGAAATAGATGGAGCCTAATGCCCTCTAGTGCAATAAGATTTTTCAACAGTGGAACAAGATGGGGGAATGGGTTTAACATTACAAGTCTACTGGAATAATCTTGGGGAAAGGGTTAAAACCTACATGTCGGATAAGGTTTGGTGCAGGAGCTAAACCAGGTGCACCAAACGTGTCTGGGTGCTCAGCAATGAACTTCATCACAATGTTGACTTTCATTATTGAAATAGCTTGCTGCTATTTACTTGAATGAAAGAAGTTAAGTGAGGTTTGTACTAGATGAGGTAGATTCTCATTTTTAATCTTGCTAAGTAACTAATGAAGGCAACTTCATATATGGATATGTAGCAGAGATGTTCTTTTTGTAAAGTTACGTAATTTAATACAAAAATAATGAATAACTTTTGAAACATTAGGAAACAAACAGCAGTTCATAATTCTGAAAAAAATAGAAGCTGTGCAAATGTTTTATAGCTGAGAATTTAATGGAAGGATTCATATTGTCTTTGACAACCACACATGAGCACTGCCAATCATCTTTGTTACTGAGATTAATATTATCTATGTCTATGGATATGCTGCTTTTCCAATCTTTAGCTAGATTCATGCAACTATAACTGGTACAAAACAACCCTGAAATGGCACTGGGCAGCTGGCTATCTTTTGGCAATTTGTAGAGATAAGTTCCTCTAAATGGAAGATAAGTTCCTGTGGATTAGTTCCTATAGATGTAATTAAGGATATTAAGAGTTGTGGTGAAAAGGCAGGGAAAGATACTAGGGGTTATGGAGAACAGGTATATGTACTGCAATCAGATAAGAAAAGAACTTACATTTTATAGTGCTTTTTCAAGTCGTATCGCACAGTGCTTTACAGTAATTACTTTTGTAGTGATTATTTTTGTAGGCAAATGCAAGCAGCAATTTGTGCTAGCAAGGTCCCATTAACAGCCTTGAGGTGAGTAACCAATTATTCTGAATAGTTATTGGCCAGGACACATTGAGGAACTTCCTTTCTCTTTTTGGAATAGTTTCACGAAATCCTTAGTGTCAGCAGACAGACAGGAACTCGGTTTAATATTTTCATTTGAAACGGCATCACTGGCAATGCAGCACATCCTCCAGTACTGCACTGCAATGTCAGCCTCATCTACGAAGCTCCTCTGTAAGTCTCACCTTGGCTTGAACCCACAAATAATACAATGGAATGTGACAGCTAATTACAATAGGAATTAGTTGATTATTTGCAAGTAATTTATTTTCAGGTAAACTTCTTTAAAAAATGTAGTCCTTTCGTTCTTCGTTTTGCTGTCTAACTTGTGAGGCTGCATCCAAATAGTTCCAAACTGCCCAAGGATTTGGAAAGTAACTTGCACAACAATAAATGTTGTGTAAGTGATCGAACGTGTACTTCTACCAAGCACAAAAATGCAGTTTCCTGCTCCATGTGATGGGACAATAGCCAGCAGTGCTCCCCAGTGTAAGGAGATATAAGATGGAAAGTAGAGTGAGATTTATTGTTAGTAGGAAATGAATGAGGAGCCCAGGAGAGAGTTGAAGGCACAGAGATGGTTTGGAATAGAATCTATTGATGCTAAATACAATGAATATTTAAATGGTTGGAGATAGTGGTACAAACTAGAGTTTCTTTATTAATGGTTACTGTAATGGATGCTGCTATGGATTCTGCCATATAGGGAGCATTAGACATCTACCTCTCATGGGCCATGTTAGATATCCCATGTTCACTACAGAGATGAAGGTAAGAGGATAAGTCTTTTGCATTCATGCAGTAGTGATACTACAGCAACAATTTCTTGGCTTCTAGGTTATAGTATTACATCAAGTGTAACAGTTTTAGTTCATTGTACTTGAGTCTTGTTATTTTTAGAGCCCTAGCATTCTGTCAGACTTGCGCAGTTTAAATTATGTTTCCTGTCATGGTCTTACAAGTCCAATGCAGGATTATTGTTAGTGGTATATGCTGGGAATAGGTGCTGAACAATCTGTTGCGCTCTACCATCGTGCTCCCTGACCAGTGCAGATGACATTATTGCAGGAAGCGTACAACGCATCAACATGCTAAACGATAAGAGTAATCAAAAACAATCACAATCAATGTATTTCTTGGTTGCACCATAGCAGGCATGTAATCGGCACAGACGGCAGCGAACGGGGACACCTTTAAAGTGCTGCTGTTGCACACTGGACTCAGAGGCTATACAAGTCACTGATAGTATTAATGGACCCATCACAGCTGACGTTCAAGGTTTACAAGAAAGCTTGCAGTTGCTGGTTGATGACCAGCTTTGGGAATGGCTGATTCCACTGGACAGGAGTGAGAAATCTCATACAAATGGACTGAAGGCTCTTTTAAGGTGTTACAATCCATCAGCTGCTGGAGATAAAATTGCGTTCAGACTTGCAGTGCTTTTCTTTCCTCCATTCCCACAATCCGTAGCCTTGCTTTCCTCAGTTTAGTTTCTGAATGAAGCATCCTCAGATCTAACTCGCTTCCAACCTTCATGAGAAATCGCCGTGTGTTTTGAGTTTTCTTTTGAGTTTGTAAAAGGAAAATCATAATCTGCAGCTGGTTTTGATTCATCTTAGATGGAAAGCTATCTATCACTTTCTTCAACAACACTGCAGGCTCTGAAATTAAGCTTTAGGGTGACGCAGTTTCAAACAGTAGAGGATACTGTAGTCTAACCACCTAGCAGATAGTTAGTAGTTGATTACAAGCACAGCTTTGTTGCTTGCCTATCAGGTACTCACCGCAAAAACCTATCTGATAGACCAAATTGCAAGTATGTTGAAGCCACCTTAAATAAAACATTCTCTGCACTTCCAAAAGACATCAACATAAAAATGTAAGTGTGTTTCAGTCTCATTTCATTGTCTGAGCTGTCAGATTTGTCAGTGGCTAATCTCTGAGCTGCCAGGTTTGTCAGTGGGCAGAGTAGATTGTAGTAAATGGAGGGTCTATCATCTTGATTAGAACTAAATGCGGATCATTTCAGAGTGACAATAGGACGGACGCCTTCAGTTGTCTATTGCAGGGTCATGTTTCAGGCAGAGCCTGCGCATGTCATTGTCCTGAGTAATTGAAGACCTCCGAACATGACCAGTTTGGGACAACTCCCATTTATTGAGCAGCCCATCCTCCAAATTGTTTAGAACAGGGCACTTGCATTTGTCTGATAAATGGGCTCTAGGAAGTTGACTCAGCATAGAAGAAGTCAATAATGTGGGTTGAAAAGTCGAGGCACACTGCAGTATTCAGTGCATAACGCTTTGGGCCTCTTAGCCTATCCGACTGAGATAAGCACATTAGCTGTCTGACTGCTGAAGGAAAGAGTCTTGTTGCATTGGAAACCCTGCAGTAGAATTTGCTTATTACTCTTCACCTGCTATGTGCATTTCTTAACATTGTCTGTAATTTTACATTTCTGGGTGTTGATCCTTATGTTTCACAAAAATATGTTTATTTGCACAGAATCAGTGTGCAGTATTAGTGTTTAGAAGATTTAATTCTGTATAGAGGAATTCCTGGACCATTGATTCTAGGAACCCAATAATTTAGCCACTCTTAACTGGAATACTGTACTGAAAATTTCACTGAAACTATCAAGCTATCATGTATGGATGTCAAACGTCAGGTGATTTTCTCACATAGGTTACTCTAAATAATGCAGTTTGAATGGAAAACTCCAAAGATGAAATATATTTTTGGGATGACCACAGCATCACAAAAAAGGTTCTTGTAAACTTGGGTAATGAAGGTGTTCTCTTTGTGGGAAAAAAAGGCACTACAGATATTTAGCTGCACAGGCACTGCAGCTGAAAGGGTCGATGTATGAAACTTCTGAGCAGCTGTTGATAATGAGTAATTACTATGTTAAACGGAAAATGTGAATAGTATTTTTTATAGACAGTTGAAGAAACGGCTAGATGCATTTGTAAATAATGGTCACTTGCTTTTAATTTGTGCAACTGTTTTATTTGGAGCATAATTGTCTTTAGGGTTGTTTTGTATATATGTACTTGGACTGTGGATTGTTTTTTAAAAATTCACGGAAAATAGTAATGCAGACATTATTTGTGATTATGTGTTCAGCACTAATTAATGTGATGTGTTTAACTTCTGCATTTGGCTTTAGCTGTAGGAAACTGTAGCTCAGTGTGTGGTGTACTGTTAATTAACTTTTGTAAACCAGGCAAGAAAAGCAACTGTATTATGCACCATTGCAATACCAATAACTGTACTAACTTTGAAGTTAAAATTCTCTTTAGCCACTATTTTAGCATTTAAGCTCTTTTGTTTAAAAAAATACAATGATCATTTTCTATAACTGGTCCTTTTGTGCTCATTTACAGTGCATCTCCCCCTCCCTAAGTTCTTATTTGAGCGCTTGGGTAGAGCTACTTACTGTAAAACTTGCAGCAAATATAATGCAGCAGCTTCCAGCTTAGGCATCATCCATACTGTACAATTTGAAGACTGTTCTTTGTTTTTGTTACATGAATCTGTCAAAAATATATTTTTAATTTAATATAAACAAAGTTAAATAAATCGTGAATCACACTGTCTCGTGATGTTCTTGAATGAATTCAGCATGCTATAGTCCACCAGCCAATAATGCATCATGACAGGATGCGTAGAAGCAGAAGAGTTTGATAGGAAATAACAGAGATGTCCGCTGGCTGGCACCTTGTATCCAATAATCTCCAAGTACCTTTCCTTTGGGCATGTACTTCATAGCACTAATCCTTGCATTTGATACACTGCCTATGACATAGTGACTCCTTGCCACTAGCCAGACAGATGCGCATTGCACTAACCAACGGAGTTGATGTGTTGTGCCAAAATTGTAGAGTGTTGTAGATAAGAATAGTAATTTAAGAGTTTGCCTTGATACCCATTGGGTTCTGGGTTGTCTATTTATGAAGGACTTGCCCTCTGGGAGACTTGAATTCAAAAATCCTCTATATCTTAAAAATATAGGACCCAAATCCCATTTAATAAGCTTTCTGAAGCAACAGTAACTAAAGTCTATTAGTAAATGAAACACTTCAATACTGTTAACCAAAACTTATCAGCCGAAAGGGAGGCTGAAGAATATTTTATATTGTTAAACTGTGTTGATGATACTTCAAAATATCTGTTAAAACAGATGTAGAGTGCAGCGTTTGAAGTGAAAATATCACAAGGTGCGCACAAAAACTTCCACCCGAGGCCTGCAAGACTCCAGTGAATAATTGCTGGAGTTAAGGTAAAGGAACGCCCCACTCTTTCCCCCTCTCCACCATCCTTCCCCCAGACTGAGGACATGTCAGGTGGGAAGTGTGGTACTGTGTAGCTGTCTCGGGAACTAGGGAGAGCTGAAACAAGGTCTGCAAGAAATTGCACAATATGAGCATTAATATGAGTAAGGTTAAAGCATTAATACCTGGAGAGTTGGGACCATATGCTACACATGTGTATGTTGGGAAGTTGAAGATTTATATCAAACAGCTTGACTGGCAGAGAAAAGTTAACAGTATTGCAGAACACATTTCAAAATACTCTAGTAGATTATGCAATTTACAATAGATATTTAACGGTGGGCTGAGTCAGTGTCTCAACTCACCATTGCTGGTTTCTTCAAAGGGAAAGATTACAAACATAGAAAAGTGCAAAGGGCATCAGCTGTTGTCTACAGCTCTCCCACAATGTAGTGGCACAAAGAGAACGACTGATTTATTTGGGAAGAGAATTCGCCACTAGAGGTAGGTTTTTTCCATCTGAAGACTTTCCTCTTCCACCTTGCCTTTGGTGCCTCCCTCCTTCTCCCAGGCTCAGTGTCAAGCGATGCCATTGTTAAGTGCTCCAAGAAGCTGTAAAGCATGTGAAAGTTCATATGAGGTTCCATTTCGGATCTTGCTCTGTGAACCATTTATCCCAGATCGGGTATTTAATTTGACATCTACTGCACCGCGTTTCGTTATTGTTCTATATGAAAGTAGAAAAAGTTAATATTTTGTCTGCGTGCCCATCGAAGGATATTGATTATAAATTGCACAGTTTTAGTGAGAAAATCCCTGGAACACAAAGCTTTATGGTTGCCTGTTACTGAGCTGGCAAAAATTGTGAAATAGCAGCATCTCTATCTACTGAATAATCAAGGTCATCCACACACACAGTAGATTAAAATCATAAACATTTCCCAAATTAATGACTTGCGTAAATAGAAATAACACTAAAAGTTGATTTAATTCGTATGAATCAATTCCCGCCTGTGGACAGTGTTATTGAAAACTGTGGGAAACAGATTCAGTCCTGTTCCACCTTAATGCAATTGAATGGTCCCAGTGATAAAGCCACTGACAGTGTCCCATATTTCATGTTTCACACCTCGAAGGAAAATAGATCTTTAATGATTCTGGAATTAGAATGTGTTGCTTTTTGAAGTTGTATCCCAATGCCACCAATCAGCAAAATGTAAGCATAACCAGTTTGGTTCAATTTTCACTTTGGTGCTTGACGTGCATTACATAATAATAATCATCCTGGACTAATTATAAAGTGTAGTGACTGGGTATTTTGTAGATGAAACATAATTTTGAAAAAAGAGCATGGTTGGAAAATCACACATATTTACTATGTGATGTACATTATATATTTTAGGAGCAAACACATTTTTTGTGCAATTTATTTTGTGTGCATTTAGACAAGCCGTTTCAACTCATAGCACACTTTAGTTTTCAACAAATGGATAAGCCTCCAATTTCTGCATCATTGCTCACTCTGCTTTGTGATGGGAGTAAATTTCAGCAACAACAACAAAATGACATTTGTATAGCAACTTTCACGTCGGGAGGATGTCCCAAACAGAGTTTTATTGGTACGTTTGTTGTGCCAGTTTTACAATGGTGGTCCCCGATTGCTGGTTTGGTCATGGATGGATGGCAGAGAGCATTATTTAGGATTTTCAGGCGTCCCATTAGTTTTTTGATGTGACACCCAGTTTGCAGAGATTTAGGTCTGATTCTAAAACATTACCAACCTGTCCGCTCCCTCTGCTCGGGGAGCACTGGCCTGCTCTATGTCCCGCGTCCTGCCTGCTCCACCATTGGCAGTTGGGACTTTAGCCCTTTCTGCCTCCACAAACTAGAACTGTATCCTGGAGCTCCTCTGCCTTGCCCCCTCCCTTGCCTCCTTCAAGGCCCGTTTCAAGACCTTTCTCTTTGACCATGCTTTCAGTCAGCCTGCCATCTCCACACCCCTTCCCCCTTGTCCTCCACCCCTCTTGACACCAACCCCCAGCTGAGGTGCAAATCCTTCATATCCAGCACGTCCTCCCGATGTGAAAGACATGATAGCAATGCAATTTGTTTTTGATTCTGAAGTGTGAGATGTTCAACAGGAATTGAGGGGTTCCCCATTTCTCAGAATCCTAACAGAGGAACTGTGGCCATTAGCCAATTAGTAATGCCAAAATTTCATTCAGTTGCTTTGTCCCATAGCTCAGTGGTTAGAGCACTCGCTTTGCAAGCGAGAGACCTGAGTTCAATTCCAGGCAGAGGGCGAAACCTTGGGCAAGTTTCCTTACTCCACACGCCTAATAATAATCCCTCCAAAACCAAAAAACAATAATAAAAATTGGTCATTTTCAATCTACGACTGTTTGTGGGACATTGCTGTGCGCAATTGGCTGCCGCGTTCGCCCACAAATATATAGTCAATTCACTTTACAGTGTGTTCTGTGAAGCGCTTTGGGACGTCCTCCCGACGTGAAAAGCGCTATATCAAATGCAAGGATTATTATTATTATTATTTGCCGAGGAGCATACCTCACCAACTCATCATGCTCATCTCATTGCTAATCTCATTGCAAAAGGTACATTAATAATTAATTAATTAATGTTATTAATAATAACAGCATTAATAGGATATACTTTGCCATGTCTGGTAATCATAGGTACATCATTGCTCTTCAAGTTTTACGCTCTGCATTGGAGTAAGTTTCACCCACTTTGATAATATGTAGAGGGTTAAATAGAGGGAAAATAAGGTTTCCCATTCTAAGTGAACATTATCAAACTGTATCAGACCCACCAGACCTAGGTGAGCATTGCCACTATAACCATTTTCTTTTGATTTTGCAAAAGCCCCATTAATGGACCAGGTTTTGCAAAGTCTGGATTATGTCTTGTACTGCATAGGTGACATTCTCATCCTGGAAAAAAAACCGTCAGTTTGAGCATCTGAAGAGACTCTTCTGTATTTCGAAGATTGACAAGCCAAGGAGGGTAGGGCAGTGCAAACTTATGCAGCCTCGGGATTAATATCTGGGCCACATCATGAATGCGCTTCATCCAACTCCAGAGAAAGTCAAAGCCATTGTGGAAGTGCTCAGACCAAGAAACGTATCACAGCTGAGATCCAGTCTGGCAATGATCCAGTAGTATGCAAATCTTCTGCTGAACTTGTGTTCATTGATGCATTCACTCAATGTGCTCTTGAAAGGCTACTTACTAACTGTGGCAGTGATCTCGTGACTGTGATGGAGTGGGTGCTAAAAGCGAAAGGCAAATTGATATCCGTACCATCCTCTACATCATATCAATCGACCAATTTGACTGTGAGCATTCATGTTTTGCGGATTGTGCAGGATTGTACCAAGGATGCACATTAAAAATACAATCAGTTGCTTTGTGAACAGTCACCAGAGAACAACTGCTCACGGTACCAGGAACAGTGCCTCAGCCAGAGATTGACTATTATTTCCCCTTCCCTTCTGGAGCCCGGCATGCTTGACCAGCTGTTCCAATGTTACATGATTTTGTGGCGATTCATCAAGCTGTCCTGCTGATGAGTGGCAAACCTCATTACACAAGGACAGGGGAGACCAAACGTTTGTTGATACATAGTTTCAGGTGCATGAGCCCTAGAGTCACCAATCCAATTATCCAACCTGTCTGGTCAGCCAAAATGTCAGAATGTTAAGAAATAGCATTAAAAATCCTCCTGGAGCTTTGGGTTTGAAACTGTTGAGTGTGAAACAAGGAATATAAGATATTGTGTAAATATCACTTAATTCTCATTGAAGTGAGTAAAACAGGATACTGGATACTCTAAAGGCTTGCAGAATAGTATAATCTTGTGATCCCAGAAAATCCCATGAGAAGAAATAGTGGTACCAAAATAACTTTTGATTAGCAAGATATGTAAAACTAAATTATTACGGCATTTTAAAATTGAGAGGGTTTACTGCAATTATTTGGGAAAAAAATATAGGAAATGAATTTGGCAGCAGTTTTACTTTCTAAAACATCCTCCCTCCCCCCCCAAAAACAATCTCTTGCAGTTGAGTTGGTAACATTCTGCCACTTTGAGAACATTAGAAACTAGTGTCAATGGTAAAGGGTGAACTGAATGGCGCTGTTCCAAGTCATAATATAACACTATCGTAAATAACTGTGAATTGCATACCACCTCATCAGAAGCATCATTAACCTCTCACAGGAGCCGATTTAAAAAACAACTCAAAGGGCAAACCTTTTTTTTCAATAATTATCTTTTAAAAATTAAATTACTTGCAT